TCTACTTTCAGAGGCAGTCTAACCCAGAATGCCAGGCTGGAAAAGCCCCTGTCTCAGGGGCAGCTCTCCAAACAGAGACCTCTTCTCCCCCAAAGGTTCCCATGGACCCTCCTAATGCAGACTATAACAGTGAGAAAGTCCCACCACAAAGAAAGGACCACAACTGCCTCAAATACCCTCCCTTACTCTGCCCTTTGTTCTGGATTTGATTGCCACCCATAATCAAGGTTTGGTGGCCTTACCTAAGTCCAGGCACATGATTGTCACCATCACCAAGGTCAGCAGTAGAGTTTTCATCTTGCGATCTTCTCTGGAACCTGCAAAATGTAGCCCAGGATGGAAGCAGACACTTATTTATACCCCTCTGAGATCGAGGTGGGTGAGTGGGGCTAGATATCTAGGATATCTAGAGAGTGACAGGGAGATTCAGTGGGAAAGGGGAAGGCCGGGGGTGTGGCTTTTTTGCCCCCGACACCAAAACGGAAGCCAGATCAGATCTGGTGAAGAACTAACCATTCCCTGTCTTCAAGGCAAATGCTTCTCTTCTACATACAAAACCTGGGCACCTGGACAATTGGCATCTTTTCCTTGTATTTATACAAGATTATACAATCCTTACATAACACAAAATTAAACAAAATATCTCTCTGCAAGTTCAGCGCCTTCCTATTTTTATTTGTACTTCAGTTAATGAAGTGGACAACTACTCTGAATCTTCTAACTTCTCAGGATACTACTGTGGATCTGCCTTCCTTCAAGAAACATGGCCTCCTTTGAGCAGATCAGCGCATGAGTAGCTCTCTCCAAAACTATCTTGTGGACTAAAGGTTTCACAAGATACAAAGTTCAGAATAAAAAAGGGAGACAGATCGAGGGTTGATCAAACACGGCAGTAGGGTTTCTGGTACAAAACTACGAACAGGAACAGCAGGACAGATGATTCCAAGGGATGCCTTGATTTCATTAGTCAACAATTCCTGCAAAGAAAAGATCTTCTTACTGATGACTTTAAATCCAGAAATTCCTCAAACCTGTGAGAATCCGGGACAGAATAGTCTTGCCACCCATAAAATCCCTTTCTCCTTGGTAGGTGTTCATAAAAAAAGATATTCACAGATCAATCCCTTGGTTCTGATTAATTTTCAACAATAGGTCAAGAGTATGCTGATTGTTAGAATCTTAAGCGGGAAATTGTTTTTGTCTAACATGAAAGAGGAGGTGAGAAGATCAATCAGGGTCCCCCCAAAATCCTTCGTCAGAGGATAACAGATTTCTTAGGGCTGTGAGAAAATGCAGAGATCCAGAGGAAAAGGAAACTTTTCCAGACAAGGATGAAAAGCAGTTGCAAAGGAAGAACAAGGATCTGTTCTAGGGTGGGTGGCGTCAAGTGGCTTCATTCAGAAGAAAACTAAGGAAGTTTCTCAGGGCTGTATTCAGTCACCACTCAACAAATCTGTGTTTCTGAATTTCTTCTTGTGGGTCTACAAACTTCTTAGAGGAGATTCAACTTGGCCTGAAATATCAATAACTTCATCTACAGAATCAAAAATATTGGAAATATGGAGAATCCAGAGAGAACGTTTTTTCTAACCCCAGGCAATGCAGGAGTCCACCCCTAAAATTCACTAGGAAAACAGTGGATCAATATGTGCATAAGCTATGTGAAGTAAGTTTTATGTCACAAACACATTGTGTTGCTGCTGCTGTTGTCATTCAGGAACATTCAAAAGGTGTAATCAAACTTTTGACAATTGGTGCACGAGAGTAAGTGGCAGAGGCGAAAGTGAAGGCTAACAGGCTTTACTGCAATACAATAACGCAGCCATGGCTTTCCGCAAGCTAGCCATGCAACGGGCTGACAGAGAACAGCTGGTTCCGTTTGACAGCTGTCAAACAGAATCAGCCAATCAGGGAGGGCTCCGGCTCCCAGTCAAAAAGCAGACCAGAGTGAAGACTTTGGCTAGATGCAGCAAAACTGATTTTCAGGGCAATCTCAAGTTTCCCATCGGATATACATACACTAACCGTTAGAAATGTAATCAGGTCATTGTCTTTTGTCAAACACCAAAGGAGAGTTGGGAAAATGAAGTGGGGGATGGTCTCAGAAATTCTTTCACCAGGGAAAAAAGAATTTCTTAATGCTGTGAGAAAACCCAGAGAACCAGGGAAGAAGAAGAATCTTCCAGGCCTGTATTAGTATAAAACTTTTTATTATTATTATTATTATAGAGTCTCGATGGCACAGAGGTTAGAGTGCAGTAATGCAAGCTACTTCTGCTGCAGCCAGCAGCCAGCAATCTGGTAGATCGAATCTCACCAGGCTCAAGATTGACTCAGCCTTCCATCCTTCCAGGTAGGTAAAATAGGGAGCCAAATTGTTGGGGGGCCAGAGGCTGACTCTGTAAACCACTTAGAGAGGGCTGTAAAGCACTATAAAGCAGTATATAAGTTCTACTGTTATTGCTATTAGCTCACCTGCTTCCTTCAGATTTGCAGGATTTGTCTATAACACAACATCTCACTCTGCTTTCCTTCAGACAAAACCTCTTTGTTGTGATATCCTGATATTTGTTTCTATACAGCTCATTGCATCGTGCAGTCTTTCCAAGGTGAAAATGGAGGGAGACTGAAAGAGAATTTATGGATCCAGAATCAGTGGTCTCCTCCCTGAAGAATAGAAAGTGCATGATTGATCTAACATTAACCATAAAAACCCAAATACCCAGCCGTTTAGCATGAAAAAATACTACCTGGAATACAAATATGATTCTGTTGCAACTGTGAACTTTTTTAATGAGCAACCAAATGAGAAAATGCTACGTCCCTGTTTATGGCTTATTCCTGGAGGCATGCTAATAGATACAATACAAAAGTACAACAATTTTGTATGGTGTGTGCAATGTTTGCCTTGCATAAGCAAAAAGATGTGCACATCACTCTTAAGCCCCGTTGTACTTGGATCTATACCAAGTGTTTTTAGCAAAAGGGTTATTAGCTCAATCAGTCAACCCAAAGCATCAAAATATACACAGGGAGAGGGAAAGTGGAAAAACAGTGAGGTGTGGGATATAATGGAATTTTAGCTGGTGCAGAGATTGTACAATTCTTTGTGACTCATCCTCAGTTTGCTGTCTAAAGTGGGCAAACTGCTTTGAGTCAGTGGTTGAAGTTCCTCTTTTAAGATCTACTAACCTATGTAATAGAGAAAGTCTGCAAATGAAATTAAACTTTGTGAGATCTTTTTCTTTCACGAGAAGTTGGAATTGATTGAGTCAAAAAATTTTAGGCCCACCCCCCAACAAACTTTTTTTCCCCTGCACATGATGGTCTCAAATGAGAAGGAGCCTGAAATCAGTTAGGCAAAGAAATCCTTGGGGAATTTGTTCTCCTAACCAGCACAGCCATGTGACTTCCGAGCGGGGGGAGAGCTTTTTCCCAGCCAGCGCAGCCATGTAGATTCCCTGTGTTGTGTGGGATGCAGCTGCTGTGGCAAAGCAAGGCAAGAAAGCTGGAGGCCAAGGAGGCAGGGAGGGCGGTGGGGGGCAGCTTGCTAGGCCATGAGTGCCATGGCTCGTATGGAGCTGCAATGGTGAAGCAAGCCAGGCAAGCTGGAGGCCAGAGATGGACGGGCTAGTGCAACTTGCAAGCTTACTTACCAAGGCAGGCAGATAAGGGTGCTCAGTTGGGTCGCAGGCACCGTGTCAGAAGGCAGGCAAGCCACAGAGCAGACACTGTTTGATCAATGCAAGGAGCCACACGGTGTGCTATGCTGGGGAGGTGACTTTGCAGGGTGGGGAGAGTGGGCCAAGTGGCGACTGGATAAGCAGGGGCAGGACCAGAAAGAGGTGGTATTTGCCGGTTCTCCAAACTACTCAAAATTTGTGGTAACCATTTCCCCGAACTGGTCTGAACTGGCCAAATACCACCTCTGGAATTAGATGAAGGAATAGAAGGGGAATTCATCAAATTTGCAGATGACATTAAGCTGGCAAAAATAGCCAGCACTCCTGAAGATCGGCTAAAGATCCAGGTGAACTTCAACAGACTTGAACTCTGGGACTCATCTAACAAAATTTAATTCAGTGGTGAAAAAAGCAAGGTTTTACAATCGGGCAAGAAAAATCACATGTACAGATACAGATTAGGTGAAACTTGGCCCAGTTGAAGTAACTGCGAGAGGGGCCTTGGAGTCCTTGTGGACAGTTACCTAAACCTGAGCCAGCTCTGTTCTGCAGCTGCCAAAAAAACAAACAAAATCCTAAACTGCATTAACAGAGGGATAGAATCAAGCTCATGGGAAGTATTATTAAGACTTTATAAAGCCTTAATAAGACCGCGCTTAGAATATTTCATTCAGTTTTTACATTTGTCACAATAAAAAAAAAAAGATGTTGAGACTCTGGAAAGAAGAGCATCAAGAAGGATCATGGGGCAGGAGGTTAAAACATCTGAAGAATGATTGCTGAAACAGGGTGTGACTAATATACTGAAAAGAAGGACTAGGGGTGACATGATAGCAGTCTTCCAACATTTGAGGGGCTCCAACAAAGAAGAAAGAGTTAACCTATTCTCCAAAGCACCAGAACACCAGAGAAGAAACAATGGATGGAAACTAATTAAGGAAAGAACCAACTGAGAACTAAGGAGAAATTTCTTGACAGCTGGAACAATTAATCAGTGGGATGGCTGGCCTTCAGAAGTTGTGGGTGCTCTATTGCTGGACATTTGTAAGAAGTGATTGGATAACGGTTTATCTAAAATATTACAGGGCCTCATGCTTGGGCAAGGGGTTGGAGTAGAAGTCTTCCAAAATTCCCTTCTAACTGTATCATTTTATTATTGTGAAAGACCTGGTGTTTCCATCCCCAGATTAAATGTACAGATAGTTAAATTTCTTCTCCCGCTTCACCTTTGACGATCTTAAGACCTCAGCTTATAATTAATCTTGTTGGATTTCCAAAGACAAAGGAATTTAAGAGATGTTTACCTGTCTTTGCTTATGCAAAATAAACATCGTGCACCGTGCAAAATTAATATACTGTGCACATTGTCTCTCTGAATGAATTTAGAGGAATAAGTGATGAACAGAGACGTGGCATTCATTCATTTGGCTCCTGGTAAAACAAAATGGTGCAGTTCCAATACAACCATGATTATGTTCCAGAAAGTACCTTTTACCAATAACCTATTAGATATTTTTAATTTAAGGTTGGGACATCGGATAATACTTCACAAACTGCAAATCCTCCATTTTCCTCCTGACTCACTTTAGTCATCATTTGGTGGTACACCAGTTGAGTCTGTCTCCAAACCAGGAGACCCTTATGTCCCCACTTCAAAACTATTGCAATATTTCAGTAAATCTTTTCATTCTCAGACCTTCTGTCTCTCCAAGCTGAATGGAACTACATCTATGTGGAGAGAGGAATGCAGTGGGGTACTCCAAGGCTCTTCCTTAGACTCGGTACACTTCAACATCTTCAATGATTTGGATGAGGGGCTAGATGGGGAATTCATCAAATTTGCAGACAACATTAAGCTGGCAGGAATAGCCAGCATTTCAGAAAAGAGGCTCAAGATCCAGATGAATTTCAATAGACTTGAACTCTGGGACCCATCTAACAAATGAAATTCAATGGTGAAAAAAGCAAGGTTTTATAGTCAGGCAAGAAAAATCAAATGTACAGATACAGATTAGGTGAAACCTGGCTAAATTGAAGTAATTGCAAGAGGGATCTTCCAGTCCCAATGGACAGTTCCCTAAACCTGAGCCAGCCGTGCGCTGCAGCTGACATAAAACCCCAACACAATCCTAAACTGCATTAACAGAGGGATAGAATCAAGATCATGGGAAGTCTTATTAAGACTTTATAAAGCCTTAATAAGATCTCGCTTAGAATATTGCATCCAGTTTTTATATTTGCCACAATAAAAAAAGAAGATGTTGAGACTCTGGAAAGGAGAGCAACAAGAATGATCAGGGGGCTGGAAGCTAAAACATCTGAAGAATGATTGCTGGAACTGGATATGTCTAATTGACTGAAAAGAAGGACATGAAAGCAGTCTTCCAATATTTGAGGGGCTCCAACAAAGAATTCAAGGTTAACCTATTCTCCAAAGCACCAGAAAGCAGGACGAGAAACAATGGATGTAAACTAATTAAGGAGACAACCAACCTAGAACTAAGGAGAAATTTCTTGATAGCTGGAACAATTAAATCAGTGGGATGGATTGTGTTCTGAAGTTGTGGGTGCTTTATTGCTGGAAGTTTGTAAGAAGAGATTGGATAACTGTTTATCTAAAATTTTACAGGGCCTTGTGCTTGGGAAAATTCCCTTCCAACTGTGTTATTTTATTATTGTGAAACAACTGGTATTTCTACCGCCAGATTAAATATACTTAATTAAATTCCTTCTTCCCCCTCAGCTTTGAGGGAGCTTAAGACAAAAGCTATATTGGTTAAATCAAGGCACCAGTTGGGTCTAGGAAGGGTCAGCAATCTGAAATGTTAAAGACAGCATAATTCTGCAGCGGTCAGTAGGGTGGTTTCTTTCTTTCTTTCTTTCTTTCTTTCTTTCTTTCTTTCTTTCTTTCTTTCTTTCTTTCTTTCTTTCTTTCTTTCTGCCCTTCCTTCCTTCCTTCCTTCCTTCCTTCCTTCCTTCCTTCCTTCCT